TGCAAGGCGGTTACTGAGTGGTAGACAATATGAGACAATATATTATTAAATAGAGAGAATAATAAAAGAATAGGGATTAAGAAGACAGAAAATAACTATAGAAATTGTTGAAGAACAAAGTTTACTGGAAAGCAAGAAGCCGAAAGAGAGTTTCACAAGTTAGAAGTTCGGCAGAATATATACATATATATATATATATATATATGTGTGTGTGTGTGTGTGTGTGTGTGTGTGTGTGTGTGTGTGTGTGTGTGTGTGGGATCATTTCACCCCAAGCAAGGCAATAAAGCCACTAAGGCGCAAGGGATTACTGAATGTGTGAGAATACGACCAAAAGAACAATATAAAGAACAAGAAGACAGAATGTAACGATTGACATTTCATTTAAACTTTTGAAGCAAGAGAGTTACACAAGTTAAAAGTGAGAGAGAGAAGAAACTGTTAGCATAGAACTTCCGGTTCTATCTCGCCATTTCAGCTGTAAAATGATGAGACCTTGTCGCCAATCTAGTACTGCGATTAAATTCATAAAGTCTAGGTTCCAAAGAGAAACGTTAATCAGACTGGAATGAGCAGTAAAAGATATTTCAATCGGATACTGTTTTCATCTTTGTTGTTGTTATCACGTCGTTTCGGCTGTTGCACTCTACAGCCTTCTTCATAACTAGGCCGTTGTCCTGGAGAAATATGCGGCTGGATGTAAGCGTTGATTCGTACATTTGCTGGATATAGTGATTATGAGTTCAATCCCTGGCCCGGGTAATATAGACTTAGATTCGGTGTAAACAGGGTTAGAATCAAGATAGCAATCTCAAACCGGATTAGCAACAAGATAGCATTATCAAACATGATTAACAACAAGAAAGCATTATCAAACAGGATTAGAAACAAGATAGCAATATCAAACCGGATTAGCAACAAGAAAGCATTATCAAACAGGATTAGAAACGAGATAGCATTAGCACACAGGAAGGGCAGCAAGTTAGCGTTCTCAAACCGGACTGGCAACAAGATAGCAATATCAAAACAGATTAGCAATAAGATAGCATTATCAAACTAGACTAGCAACAACATAACATTTTCAAACCGGATTAGTAACAAGATAACAATATCAAACCGGATTAGCAACAAGATAGCAATCTCAAACCAGATTAGCAACAAAATATTATCAAACATGATTAGCAACAAGATAGCAATATCAAGCCGCATTAGCAACATGATAGCATTATCAAACCGGGTTGGCAACAAGATATCATTTTCATACCGGACTGGCAAAATCAAACCGGATTATCAACAAGATAACAATCTCAAACTGGTTAGCACCAAGATTACATTATCAAACAGGATAAGCAACAAGATAGCATTATCAAAAGAACAAAACGAAATATCACGGGACAGAGACAGAGTAACGAGAACAATCTACTCCTTCTTAATTAAATAAAGTGTTCGGTTTAAAATTCCATGGGAATTACCCGGATCGAAGGACGCTTGAACAATGCCGGATAGCACAACAGCCGGAACTTTATGATAGTAATAACAAAGATGAAATCTCTTAATTTTTTATTTCGTATAAAAAATATTTCTCTTTATTTTTTCTCACGAAGAAAAATTTTCATTATTTCATGACTATCATCATTTTACAGATTATCCAGTTTCAAATTTTTTGAAAATCACTTCTCAGCTTCTTCTGTAACAAAGATGCAAGTAGTAGGCCAAGATGCGGGCAGGCCAAGATGCGGACAGGCCAAGATGCGGACAGGCCAAGATGCGAGCAAACCAAGATGCGGACAGGCTAAGATGCGGACAAGCCAAGATACGGACAGGCTAAGATGCAGGCAAGCCAAGATGCGGACAGGCTAAGATGCAGGCAAGCCAAGATGCGGGCAGGCTAAGATACGGGCAAGCCAAGATGCGGACAGGCTAAGATGCAGGCAAGCCAAGATGCGGGCAGGCTAAGATACGGGCAGACCAAGATGCGGACAGGCCAAGATGCGGGCAGGCCAAGATGCGGGCAGACCAAGATGCGGGCAGGATAAGATGCGGGCAGACCAAGATACGGACAGGCTAAGATGCGGGCAAGCCAAAATGCGGACAGGCTAAGATGCAGGCAAGCCAAGATGAGGGCAGGCTAAGATGCGGGCAGACCAAGATGCGAACAGGCTACCAAGCAAGCCAAGATACGGACAGGCTAAGATGCACGGCCAAGATGCGGGCAGGCTAAGATGCGGAAGATGCGGGCAGGCTAAGATGCAGGCCAAGATGCGGGCAGGCTAAGATGCAGGCAGACCAAGATGCGGACAGGCTAAGATGCGAGGCCAAACATACGGACCTAAGATGCGGGCAAGGCTAAGATGCGGGATAGCCAAGATACGGACAGGCTAAGATGCAGGCGAGCCAAGATGCGGGGCTAAGATGCGGGCAGACCAAGATGCGGACAGGCTAAGATGCGGGCAAGCCAAGATACGGACAGGCTAAGATGCAGGCAAGCCAAGATGCGGGCAGGCTAAGATGCGGGCCGACCAAGATGCGGACAGGGTAAGATGCGGGCAAGCCAAGATGCGGACAGGCTAAGATGCGGGCAGACCAAGATGCGGACAGGCTAAGATGCGGGCTAGCCAAGATACGGACAGGCTAAGATGCAGGCAAGCCAAGATGCGGGCAGGCTAAGATGCGGGCAAACCAATATGCGGACAAGCCAAGCTGCGGACAGGCTAAGATGCGGGCAGGCCAAGATACGAACAACCAAAGACGCAAACAGTAAAAAACGCACAAACATACAAAAAGTCAGACCCTTTACTATTATTATTAATTTGCTCTTGACTGATTATTTGCGGATTATCAACCTTTTGTGGTGTTTGAAGCTGAAATATATTTTAGCTTGTAAGAATAATTCATTTTTTTTTTGCTAATAAATATTGTATTATGAATGTTTTGAGATTATCAATGATTTTTCTGTATACAAATTTCACTATTTAACCCATAGCCAAATGGATTCATGCTTTTCCCAATGGCAATTGCGTGTCAGTCGATATAACGAACCCAAATGGAATTTGAACTCAGCTCTCCGATTTTTCAGGATGTATTAAACTGATAATTGGACGGTGCCTTATTTTTCAAGTTAAAGCATTTAAACGGTATTGCCCTAACAAAAATCGCGTTACGACGTGCCGCTTTTTCGCTGTTATAGTAATATACCCACAAATAGAATTGGGGTCATTTCATTACATTGGACTGGAATGAAATAAACTTAAAAAATGGGAAACCAAGAAATTGATACAGATAGGTTGTGATATTCCGCTACCCCAGCCGTACTCGCCCGACCCTTGCGTCTTATTTTGATGCCTACAGATTTATCTTACTTGCGATAGTTCACTTCTCTGGAAGTCTGTAAAAAAAAAAACTGCTGAGATCAATTCATTAACCAGGAAAATCGTAAAGCCGCTGTCTGTTATTTTCCCGGTGTTCTGTTTCTTGAAAGAAAAGCGAAAGAGTGAAAGGTCATTCTGATTCGTTCTTTTGTCGTCTGCTTCTCGTAATATCCCCAACCGTACTAGTGTTTTACTTTTTTCTTTTTTTTACATCGATATAGAAAACACTTATCGAGAACACAAATATGATACGCTATTCCATACTGTACATGTTTTTTTTTTGTTTGTTTTTTTGTTATTTTGCTTGTTATAAATTTGTCCTCTGTTTTACACGCACAAAGAATAATAAGCGAACAATTGTTACGCAACGTTATTGATTGCGCATCAATATGAGATATTATTCTCATGCTAATTTTATGAGCCTCTCTTCCATGTTGGTCAAGGCATATTAAAAAGAAGGCTTGAAGATTTCTCCGTAGTAGGTTGCCAATTTCTGCGGCAGACTGGTTGTCAGCCAAAGCTATAGAACCCAGTTTGTTCTCCTATTCAAGTGATAGCTGGGTAAAGAAGACATAGATTCATAGCTTTCAGTAATGACCTACCTTAAGTGGCTCTTGTATTGGATGAATAATAGCATAAAATAGGTCATGGCAATTCATAGGCAATAACATAAAGGGTGTGTAGGGATGGATGGACGGACTGACAGACAGACATTCAGTCAGTTAGTTAAGTGCCATCCGTGATACACGTTTGTGTGATCATGTCTCTTTCAATTCCTGACTGACTAGTCAGAAGATATTCCCGCAGTCGGTTGCCGTTTCTTTATGCGATACACGCTTGTGTGATCATGTCACTTTCAATTCCTGACTGACTCGGCAGAAGATATTCCCGCAGTAGGTTGTCGTTTCTTTATGCGATACACGATTGGGCGATCATGTTTCTTTCATTTCCTGACTGACAAAGCAGAAGATATTCCCGCAGTAGGTTGTCGTTTCTTTATGCGATACACGATTGGGCGATCATGTTTCTTTCATTTCCTGACTGACAAGCCAGAAGATATTCCCGCAGTCGGTTGCCGTTTCTTTATGCGATACACGATTGGGCGATCATGTATCTTTCAATTCATGAATGACTAGGCAGAAGATATTCCCGCAGTAGGTTGCCGTTTCTTTTTGCAGCTTCCAGTTAGGATAGAACTCTCTACACTGTTGTACTTGCCCTAGCGAGGCATGCTTGTTAAACGTTACAGTACATCGAGGTTCTCAATATATATAGAGATTTTACAAGTATAATTAGATGTGGCACAAGGCCGAAAGTAAGGGTCATACAGTGTGAATCGAACTTATTATTCAGTCGGGGATAATTTTCTAAACATTACACCACGTTAAAGCGCTCACAAATTGCCATATGCGTGTTGGTATCAAATTTATTTACATGTATATAATACTTTAAATTTTTACGGGTATTATGCCAATTATAATTTAGATGCTTTTCCCGGCTCTTGAGGTATTTACATATTTATCACGAAGTTCGAAGGATTCTGAAATAGAGAAGCCATCTTCCTGGTGTAATTTGCTTAGCATAAGTTAGTTTTAACAAATGCAGATTGCTTAGAATAAAGTGATTCTTCAGTTCAACACTAAATACATTAACACGCCATTTCTGAAACCTGAACATCTGCTACGACCTTTACGATTGATTCTTTACGCATACTCATCTCCTGATTTTTTTCTATCTATCTATCACATCCGGCACATTTCTTCCTTTCTTTCGTTCATTCTTTCGCTCTTTCTTTCTTTCTTTCTTTCTTTCTTTCTTTCTTTCTTTCTTTCTTATCCTGCTTGTTTTTTCTTTCTATCTATACATCTATCTATCTATCTATCTATCTATCTATCTATCTATCTATCTAAGCCTGTTCGTATCTATCTATCTATCTATCTATCTATCTATCTATCTATCTATCACATCCGGCTCATTCTTTCTTTCTTTCTTTCTTTCTTTCTTTCTTTCTTATCCTGCTAATTTTTTCTTTTTATCTATCGATCTATCTATCTAAGCCTGTTCGTATCTATCTATCTATCTATCTAAGCCTGTTCGTATCTATCTATCTATCTATCTATCTATCTATCTATCACATCCGGCTCATTTCTTTCTTTCTTTCTTTCTTTCTTTCTTTCTTTCTTTCTTATCCTGCTAATTTTTTCTTTTTATCTATCGATCTATCTATCTAAGCCTGTTCGTATCTATCTATCTATCTATCTAAGTGTTCGTATCATCTATCTATCTATCTATCTATCTATCTATCTATCTATCATCACATCCGGCTCATTTCTTTCTTTCTTTCTTTCTTTCTTTCTTTCTTTCTTTCTTTCTTTCTTTCTTATCCTGCTTATTTTTCTTTCTTTCTATCTATCTATCTAAGCCCGTTCATATCTATCTATGTATTCAAGCCTGTACGTATCTCTATCTATCTATCTATCTATCTATCTATCTATCTATCTATCTATCTATCTATCACATCCGGCTCATTTCTTCCTTTCTTTCTTTCTTTCTTTCTTTTCCTGCTTATTTTTTCTTCTATCTATCCATGTATATATATATATATATATATATATATATATATATATATATATATATATATATATATTCATGTCTATCATCTATGCTTGCTTATATCTATCTATCTATCTATCTGTTATGGTCCGGTTACTTATACCACTGTGATAGTCCAAGGAAGAACCAATAAACAACTCGAACACGTATATGGAATAACACAGATATATTACAAACAGGAATATATACAGAGAAGTAGAAAGTGTTAGTACGAACAATCAGGTTTAGTAGTAATTGTCTGAACACGACTGACGGACTGACACACAACTGACGGACTAACTCCAGACTTCAGACTGAACCGTATTTAGTCACCCCACCCCACGAGGGCATCATGTGGCACAAGGCCGGTTTAACGTGGCCTGTGGGCTCGGCCAAAAATATGCCCTTTGTACCCGTATAAACGGGTCCAGGGTCGGTTTAGCTCCCCGGAAGAGAATCCGCCCTTCGGCGTAGCCTCGTTCGGGTTCCACCCCGCCCGAAGGCAGAGAGTTCAACCGATCAGCCGGTCAGCCGGTCGCCCGACTTCAGACTGAACAGTATTTACTCCCCCCATGGGGGCATCATGCACACATAGCCGGTTTAACGTGGGATCTCCAGGCCCGTGGGCTCGGCAAAATATCCCTTTGAACCCTTATAAACGGGTTCAGGTTCGGTTTACCTCCCCGAAAGAGACTCCGCCCTTCGGCGTAGCCTCGTTCGGGTTCCTCCCCGCCCGAAGGCAGAGAGTTCAACTGATCAGCTAGTCAGCCGGTCGGCCGACTTCAGACAGAACTCCCTGCTTCCTCTTGAGGCGCCGTATTTATTACGTATGGAATAGTCCATTATGTTATTATGGGAAAGGTCCCATAACACCCCCCTTCCGAAAATTTTGTGTAGCAGGGGTTTTTTAATATCTTTTTTCCTTTGGATCTATTTCCAAAGGTTCAGTGAATTTTCTTTTTCTAGACGATTTTCTTGTTCTGGCATCATTTGCGGTCTTTTTATATCGAATGTGTCGCAAATCGTGTCCAATACCTCTTCTTGAGGTGGACCGTTAGCATCCTGTAACGGTCTCTTCCTTATTTGGTTTACGTGTCTTCTGTGCGAGAATTTTTTTTTCATTGAACTATGTACATCATATTGACAATTCTTTTCTCAATTATCACTTGTTCCCAGCAAGAGGTATTTTTTGTATGCCTTAAAAAAAACTTTTTCCCCTAGGAGGAATTTTCTTTTTGTTGTGTAGGACTGTGTTACTTCTTTTGTTTTACTTGGTAGTAATTTATCGAACGCTGATCTGATTTTCCTAGCAAACATGATATCTGCTGGTGATAATGTTGATGGTGTCGCATTATTTGGCGTTATTTTATATACCTGTAGGAATTGCTGTAATGCTTTCTCTGTAGGCAACATCGTACGCTTTTCGTAATGCTCTTTTGAGAGTATCCACAAATCTCTCCGCTTGTCCATTTGATCTTGGATGGTAAGGCGGGGGTTTTATATGATTTACTTGATAGATTTCGTAAAACTCTTGGAAATCTGCTGACGTGAATTGCGTTCCGTTATCTGTTACTAAACAGTCCACTACGCCAAACCGAGCGAATAGCTCGTGGAGGAAATTTATGGTCGTTTCTGTAGTAGGAATTTTGCACCGAAACACCTACGGCCATTTACTGTAGCTATCAACTATATTTAAATAGTAGAACCCGTCAATTGGTCCTGCATAATCTGCGTGTATTCTTGACCATGGACGATCAGTTTCAGGCCAAGGCTTATGTATGATTGGTGGTGCTTTAGCTGCTAAATTACTACACTTGCACATTTCCACCATTTGAGAAATATCCTGGTCCATATTCTTCCAATATACATAGCTTCGCATTAGCGACTTCATTCTATTTTTACCCGGGTGACCTCTGTGGAAATCCTTTAGTATTCGTTTTTGTAAAGTTTTGGGGATTACAACCCTTTCGTTGTAAAGTAGCACATTATCGCATAGAGAAAAGCTGTCCGAAATTTTCTCATGTTTTTCTGCTATTTTTACTTTTGTTTCATTAATAGAGTCATCATTTTTTGCTTCATTTTTTATGTCTTGCAATGTGACTGGGAGGTTTCTGACTGTACAACATAGTACTGTTCTTATGTCTTCTTCATTTCTAAAGGCTGCGATTACCGTATCTTCCAATGGCTCTGTCTTTGTTGGTATATGTCTCGACAGACCATCCCCGTGCCCGATTCTTTTCGTTGGTAAATATTCCAATCTGAAATTATAGTTCTGAAGAATCGTTCCCCATCTAAGTAGCCTATTTGCCGTGTACACCGGTAGACCTTTTTTTGAACCAAAAAATTTTATTAACGGTTTGTGATCCGTTTGCAGAGTAAAGTGTCTACCATAGACGTATCTATGGAATCTTGTTACTGCAAAGAAAATTGTTAGAGCTTCCTTCTCAAATTGTGAATAGTTTTTCTCCGCTGGTTGTAGGGTTCGAGAAGCATGTGCGATAGGTTTTATTGTCCCATTTTATGTAATATACACACTCCGACACCGTAGGCGCTCGCATCACTTGCTACAATAATCTCCAGTTTAGGATCATAGTGTGCCAAAAATAAATCCGATGTTAATGTCTTGATTATTTTTTCGAATGTTTCCTGGCATTGATCTGTCCATTGCCAAAATTTTTCTTTCTTTAGCAGTTCGTTCAATGGTGCGCGAAGTTTATGCACTTGAGGTATGAATTCCTGGTAGTAATTCACTAATCCAAGAAAACTTTGTAGTTCTGTTATGTTCTAAGGAACTGGCATCTTTTTTTTATTGCTGTAGACCGTTCAGGGTCTGTACGTCTACTTTCTTGGTCTATTATATGGTCAAGATATTTAATTTCCTGAAAAAAATCACTTATTTTCTTTCACTTTGAATCCGTAGCTTTGCATTCTCTTAAACAATTCTTGTACATGTTGCCAGTGTTGTTCAACGCTTTCGCTATTAATCAATATGTCATCCTGATAGGCTATTGTGTATTCTAGTCCTGCCAGCATCGTATCCATTATCTGCTGGAAAATAGCCGGTGCTACTTTAATTCCAAATGGTAGTCTTTCGTATCTGCACAACCCCTTGTGTGTGTTTATGCATAGTAGTTTTGAACTTTCCTCATCGACTGGAATTTGCAGGTAGGCCTCGCTTAAAGCAATTTTTGAAAAATATTTTCCGCCATTTAATTTAGTGAATACTTCTTCAGGACTAGGTAGCGGATAGTGGTAATCATTTATTGCTGCGTTCAAACCTGTAGAAAAATCAGCACAAACTCGAATTTCTCCTGATTTCTTTTTAACGTAGACCGTCGGTGCGACCCATTTGCTGTACTCTACTTTTTTCAATATGCCTGTATTTTCGACTCTAGATAATTCTTGGTCAATCTTTTCTATTGACGCAAACGGTACACTCCATTTTTTCTTGAAAATAGATTGAACGTTATCCATTATTAGCTGCCATTTTCTTGCATCTTCCGAGACCTGCCGAAAATACTTCGGGGAAACTCGTTTTTAGTTTTCCTTTTAATTTGTCTGCCTCGGTTGATAAGCTTTTTACATTCTGGCAGTAGGTGCTAATAGGTAGATCCCACAATTCGAATTTTTGCATCCATTCTGTCCCGAATAGGTTTTCGGTATTTCTTAAGACGTACATTTTTAGTTTTTCCGTCATTCCGTTAAATGTTACGTTTGTGATTATTTCACCCTTGAATTTTATCTTTCTCCCAGTAACTGATCTCGCAATTTTATCCGTTTTTAACATGACAGGTTTGTTCAGTTTTCTCCATGTTTGTAGATTTATGATAGTTAAGTCTGAGCCAGAATCCAGCTGTAACCTAACTTTTCTGTTTGGCATTTCAACTTGTACATCTTTTCTTACATTAGTCTCATCTGTTTGGTCGGTCCTCGTAATTCTGATTCTGCTTTCTTTTCTATACCAACAGTGAGAACTTTTGTGACCATTTTTTTTACATGCTAGACAAGTTTTATCACGATATGTACAGTCTTTAACCCAATGCCAAGACCCACAATGATAGCATGGACTTGGTGGTAGTTTCTTTTTATGTTGATTAGAATTAGAAAAATTTTGTTTTACCTGTTCTTGAGGCGGGAAAATCTGTTCGGTTTGTTTGTGAGAAGGGAAATTCTGTTCATTACCTGTCTATATCTATTTATCTATATATGTGTGTGTGTCTGTGCGTGCGTGTGTGTTTGTCTGTTCAGATCTATGTATCTCAGTTTGTTCAGATCTATTTCCACTGTTTTTCTCTTTCACTCTCTTTCTCCTTCTGTCCTTCCTTTCCCCTTCATTATACTGTTATCTTTCCCCATTTTCTTGTCATTCTCTTTTCTTTCTTTCTTTCTTTCTTTCTTTCTTTCTTTCTTTCTTTCTTTCTTCTATCCACGTCTCTCGCCTGTATTTACTTTTCTCTCCCTATTCTGTTTCTTCTCATCCCTTGATCTCTTTCTCTCTCGCGCACTTACTTTTTTTACTATCCTTTCTCTGTTGTACACTGTTCGTTCATCTCTCTCTCTCTCTCTCTCTCTCTCTTGTCCCTCTCTTTCCTTCCTCTCATCTTTTGTATTTACCTTCTCTGCCTTCACTTTTATCTTCTCTTTTCTCTCTTTTTCATTCTCACTATCTCGATCATTTCACTCTCCATCGTTATCGGCTCTTCGAAATGTTGGATACTGATTCCTTCCTTGAAGTATCCCAGTTGCCTTTGAATTGGATTTCCTTTGACAAAGACCTTGTATCACGCATCACTGCCCGTTTCGATATAAAAGACAACAGATTGGATCGTCTTCTAATAAAGCTCCTTCAGTCTGGAAAATCATTGGAAACACATTTTATTTCTTCCTTCTGAACTTCTCATTTCTTCTCTCTTTTTACTTTCACTTTCACTTTCACTTTCACTACAATTTCGTCTCTTTCATTCTCTTTTGATTGCATTCGAACTTTCAGTTTGCTACCAATGTTTCTTTTTTTTCTGCCTTCCTCTTTTCGATGCACCTCTCGATTTATTTGAAACTTTACAACCATCCTTTGTTCTTTTCTTTGCGCTTCGTGCGTTTTGTCATTAGATTACCAACTGATTCTATTTTGACTTCTTTTAATTCTTTTTCTTGTTTTTCATTTCGTGTTTGCAGTTTCCTTTTCTTTCTCTCTTGTATTTCTTCTTTCTCTCTCCTGCTTCCTTTTTTACGATGTTCCTTTCAATTGTCACTTTTCACTTTCTTTTTTCATTTTTTCTTTTTCATTCTTCGTTCTTCTTTTCGTTTGATTTTCTTCTTTCTTCTTTCTTTTCTTCTTTTTTCTTTTCTTCTTTTCGCATTACTCTTTTTCGTTCTTCTTTTGATTTGATTTTCTTTATCTTTTTTCTTTTCTTCGTTTTTCTTTTCTTCATTTTTCTTCTTCTTTTTTTGTTTTGATATTCTTCTTTCTTCTTCCTTTTCTTCTTTTCCTTTATTGTTTTCTTCTTCTCTTCTTTTTTCATTACTCTTTGTTCACTCTTTTTTTGATTAAATTTTATTCTTACTTTTTTCTTTTTCCTTCTTTCCTTTTTCATTTATGTTTTTCGTTCTTCTTTTGGATTGATTTTCTTTCTTTTTCTTTTCTTCTTTTTCATTCTTCTTTTTTGTTCTTCTTTTTATTGGATTTTATTTTTTATTTTTATTCTCTTCTTTTTTCATTTATTCTTTTTTATTCTTTTTTCTTTCTTCTTTTAGCTTGATATTCTTCTTTCTTCTTCCTTTTCTTCTGTTTCCTTTATTCTTTTCTCCTTCTCTTCTTTTTCCTTCTTCTTTTTCGTTCTCTTTTGGATTAAATTTTATTCTTTCTTTTTCTTTTCTTCTTTTTTCTTTTCTTTTTTTCTTTTCTTCTGTTTTCATTCATGTTTTTCATTCTACTTTTGATTTGATTTTCATCTTTCATTTTTTTTCTGTTATTCTTTTTTGTGTTTTCTTCTTTTGATTATATTTCCCCCTCTAATAAGTAGATAAATTTGTTTATTTTTCTTCCTTTCCTTCTTTCGTATCTTTCTTTATTTTTTGCCTGCCTTCTGTCTAAATTTTCTTTCTTTTCTTACGTACTTATTTTCTTTCCTTTCTTACCTCCCTCCCTTCCATCCTTCCTTCCTTCATTCCTTCCTTCCTTCCTTCCTTTCCTCCTTCCTTCCTTTCCTTTCCTTCCTTCTTCCTTCCTTTCCTTCCATCCTTGCTTCCTTCATTCCTTCCTTCCTTCCTTCTTTCCTTCCTTCCTTCTTTCCTTCCTTCCTTCCTTTCTCCCGTCCTTCCTTCCTTTATTCTTTTCCTTCCTTTCCTTCCTTCCTTCCTTCCTTCCTTCCTTCCTTCCTTCCTTTCCTTCCTTGCTTGCTTCCTCCTTTACTTCCTCCCTCCCTTTTCTTCCTTCCTTCCTTCCTTCCTTCCTTCCTTCCTTTCCTCCCTTCCTTCCTTTCCTTTCCTTCCTTCTTCCTTCCTTTCCTTCCATCCTTGCTTCCTTCATTCCTTCCTTCCTTCTTTCCTACCTTCCTTCTTTCCATCCTTCCTTCTTTCCTTCCTTCCTTCCTTTCTCACTTCCTTCCTTCCTTTATTCCTTCCCTTCCTTCCTTCCTTCCTTCCTTTCCTTCCTTGCTTCCTTCTTTCCTTCCTCCTTTCCTTTCCTTCCTTCCTTCCTTCCTACCTCCCTTTCCTTCCTTCCTTCCTTCCTTCTTTTCTTCCTACCTCCCTTCCTTCCTTCCTTCCTTTCTTCCTTCCTTTCTTCCTACCTCCCTTTCCTTCCTTCCTTCCTTCCTTCCTTCCTTCCTTTCCTTTCTTTTCCTTCCTTCTTTTATTTCCTTTCCTTCCTTTCTTCCTTCCTTTCCTTCCATCCTTGCTTCCTTCATTCCTTCCTCCCTTCCTTTTCTTCCTTCCTTCTTTCCTTCCTTCCTTCCTTCCTTACTCTCTTCCTTCCTTACTTCCTTACTTACTTCCTTCCTTCCTTCCTTCCTTTCCTTCCTTTCTTCCTTCCTTTCTTCCTACCTCTCTTTGCTTCCTTCCTTCCTACCTCCCTTTCCTTCCTTTCTTTCTTTCCTTTCTTCCTTCCTTTCTTTCTTTCCTTCCTTTCTTCCTCCCTTCCTTTTTTATTTTCACCTTTGTTCCTTATCTTTCCTCTATTTCAGACTTTTTTCTTTCTTTCCTTGCCTTCCTTCCTTCTTACCCTCCTTCCTAACATTTTGTCATTTTTAGATTTCCTCCTTCTTATTTTTTTTTCAGTTTTTTCCTTGTTTTCTTTCTTCTTTTCTTCCATCTTTTCTTCCTTCTTTTCTTTCTTCTTTTCTTCCATCTTTTCTTCCTTCTTTTCTTCCTTCTTTTCTTCAGTTTTTTCCTTGTTTTCTTTCTTCTTTTCTTCCATCTTTTCTTCCTTCTTTTCTTCAGTCTTTTTTCCTTCTTTTCTTTCTTCTTTTCTTCCATCTTTTCTTCCTTCTTTTCTCCGATCTTTATTCTTTTCTTCCTTCCTTTCTTCCATCTTTTCCCCTTTTCTTCTTCCATCTTTATCTACTTCTCAATCCCATCTTGTCTATACAGCAATCTATCCTTTAGCTCTCTTAAATCCCGTATACATCGCACTTCATACACGTATAAACGTATAAACATAAACAATTTTACACTTGCACATTTAACAAACACACAATCCTTACACATGTACGCGTGTGCGTGTGTGTGTGTGCGCTCGCGTGCTCTCGGTGTATAGATCCATTATAACCAATTTAGTATAAAAGATGATGAAATTTAACCCAGAATAGGCTGTGCTGGCGATAATTTTGTACAACACAAATTACTAGAAAACCAAAATATTATCTAAGAACTCAAGTCATGTTCTGAAATAGCATCGATGGGTTTAGACTTTTATATGAATGACATGCATTTTTTTTTTACTAATGTTTGCGCTAAACAAGACTCAATGGTCATTCATCTGTATGGGTTATTTAATGCCAAAATCTAAATATTTTGAATGCAATTTTATGGCTTCATCTAAATATATTTTGAACGCAATTGTATGTCTTCAACTACAGATAAAATGTATTGTTGGTCATTTTACTATAAATATGTATTGTTGGTTTGTTGATTTTGTTTAGCGGCATATCAACACCTATATGGGTAATTTAATGCCGAAATCTAAATATTTTGAACACAATTCTATGGATTCAACTAAATATATTTTGAACGCAATTGTATTCCTTCAACAACAGATAAAATATATTGTTGGTTATTTTATTATAAATATGTATTGTTGGTTGGTTGATTTTGTTTAGCAGCATATCAAGACCTATATGGGTAATTTAATGCCGAACTCTAAATATTTCGAATACAATTTTATGCCTTCAACTACAGATAAAATATATTGTTGGACATTTTACTTTAAAAATGTGTTCTTGTTAATATTGCTATAAATATGTATTGTTGGTAGTTTTATATAAAATGACCGAAGTTAAGCAACATTGAACCTGGTCTGTACCTAGATGGGTTACCGCTTGGGAATATCAGGTGCTGTAAGCTTGGATGTGCGGATGGTGTAATGGATAATAACTCGGAATTTTTAGGGTCCCAACTATGAGCAAATAGTTAGCCCCCATACTGGGGTAAAAACACTATAAAAGTGTAAAAATAGGTTTTAGTGCCAGCAATTTTTTTTTTTTTAAATTACGAGGAATAAATTTTTGAACAAAAAAATTTTACCAGCAATACATTTTTAGAAAAAATATTACCAACATTTTTTCACAAAAATATTAGCAGCAATAAAAATCTTGTCGGCATTAAATAATCTATATATATATATATATTAAACAGCACCATTGTTTTCTAGAGCTTCTAAAATCTGGTTTTAGAAGCTTTTAAAAAGTATATTGTAAAATTAGCATAATTTTGTTTATTAATTCTTATACGATGAAAGAAAATAGACAAAATTTTCCCCATGTTATGTTATTTTTTTCCAAGAATTGCAAAATGTAAAAAATTAAAGTTTATGAAGAAGGTTCTGTGTGTATTAGAACGTGTTAAAAGTGGTTTGCGTAGTTATTTTCAGGATGTTTCTCACTTAAAGAAATTCCGCGTTTGGTAGATCAAATGAAGTTGACAGCGATCAAATAAAGACATTACTTGAGAATAGTCGACGTTATACGACAAGTGAAATCGCCGATCCTCGTAAAATATCCAAATCAGGAGCTGAACATCTTTTGCACAGCCTTGGCTATATTAGACGCTTTGATGTGTGACTTCCACAAAAATTAAACGAAAATAAAAAATAAAAAACAGCTTAAACATAAAGAAAATATTCTACTTTCAAAATAAACTCATTGAAGAGGACAGGCTGAGCTCCTCATAACACCGCTGGAGTCTACAACATGGACGTATTAACTCAAGAACTCGAGTAATGCTCTTATATAGACTCGTCAGATCTAGATTCTTATAATGATACCAAAACGTTAACGTGTTCTCCGCCTGGAGCAGATCGCGCAACTCACACGACCAAAGAATTTTAGTCACTGTATTTTCATGCAAACACATGAGTGGCCCAGGCTATCTAAGTTATCTGGTCATCATCTATAGAACGCAGTCTTGCTATTTATTCCATAGCTGGGGGATGAGATAGATTCATACCTTTCCCAACGTATTTGAGCATAAGGGAATGCAACGAACTCGGTTGGAATTCGAACTCGGCCCGATGATTTCTCTCTCCGATCAGCAATCCATTACACCACACGCACACCCATGTATAGTAACAAACTCTTTTATAAACTATTTGTTATATAGAACCGTTTTCTTATGACTCAATGAATGAACCCTGCGGGATTTTAACACGACTGTCCTCCGACAGATTTCGTAGACTGGCATTACACAATAGTAAATAGAGAACGTTACCAAATAATAAAACCATATCATTTGAAAACTTCCAATAGCGGCAACAACTAAAATGAACAACACGTGTAACTAGACGGGAAAATAACAATATAATCAGGATGTTGACTTTCCACACTACATTTAACAAAAGGTTAGGAAGGAAACTCCGATCAATACTCGAAAGAGCGATGACGGTTTATTGACTCCAGATACAGATGTTCCTGTAAAACTATTTTAATAGAAAGATTTTAAGAAATTTGAAACGATGGTAACACTTAGCGTTCAGTCAATGAATTGTCCCCTGTATGGAAATGGTTGATTACTATGATTCTATGATTTATTAAGCAAATATGTCAAATTTATTTTGCATTAGTTTATCTCTCTCTATAAAAGGCAGGATGTGTGTGTGTGTGTGTGTGTGTGTGTGTGTGTGTGTGTGTGTGTGTGTGTGTGTGTGTGTGTGTGTGTGTGTGTAACAGATGTACGGCCGCAATTTTCGACGGATTTGCACCAAAATTTACATGCACATGCTCCAAGTTAGCGGGAGAGGCCAAGACCGAGTTTGCATTTCCCAACTCCCATCGATAGTGGAAATAATCGATTTATTTTCATGTTTCTACGGCAGTTTTCATGTAGTTTGCAGCCATTTTGTACTGGTCAGAGTGAGAGACAATAGCTCGCTGCCACGAATAGGCAGGATGATTCTATTGGCCAGCGTGAGAGTCAACAGCTGACTCACACGAACGTTAACTAGCATGCTAGCATGCAAAAAAATCGATAGCTGCATTCGTCACAAGTGGGAAAATTTAAATCTGCATGGCACTTTACTCCAATTGGCTCATTCATTGCTTTTCTAACTCAACGTTGATTCTGATTCCGCAGAACTGGGTTGGGTGTGAAAAAGTATTTGTTGTTAACATTCTTTTTTTCATTCGGTTTTTCCACTTACGAGTCCTTTTTTTTTTAAAGCTGATCGTTTTGTGTTCATTTTTTTTTAGTTCTTTTTTTGTAACAGATTTAATGTTTAGTATAGAGCTTAGAAAAAATTTGCAGTGTGAGATAGGCAAGAAGTAAGGCATTTAGCAACATCAGCACGGTAAAGGGCACTCCTTTAAAGGCAAGGAAGGGCAAAAATGTTTTAAGTCAAGTGATAGTGATTGCTGTATGAGTCGTACGATTTTTGAATCAAGGACGGACAATGCCGAGCCATGCTGCTAGTCTTTCATCTATATTTTATATATTGGCTTCAGTCACTTTCCCACCGTCGTAAACGTACCTTCCCTCTGACTGTTCTATAAATACTTTCATGGTAATTCTTCTGATGAAGTTTCTTCTATGTTACCGAGACTTTATGGATTTAAGCGCAGTACTAGATTGGTAGGTAGGTCTCATTATTTTATTACCTTTTATCTTTCCCTCACCCATAGATCCTTTTTCCGACATCGTCCTATAAATGTTTCTGACTCTACTTTCTCTCTCAATACTTATTTTCCAAACCTCAATACCGAGTCAAGCAATCATCTTTTGAAGTTAATCAATAGCAAAGAATTCGACGTTCGTTGCAGCTAGGAAAGTTGTGACTGTGTCGACCTAGACAATTTTCCTCACCATAATCTATCTGAGAAATTTATAACTTTACTATTCGTTGTTTCTTTGAATATTACTGACACATCTGGCCTTCCTCTACTGCTATGCATTTAGAGATTCTTAATAAAATCCATAAAAGAATCTGCAATGTTATTCGTCCTTTCCTGGCAACCCGGCTTCAGTCCCTTTCCCACCGGCCTAACGTCGCTTCCCTCTGTCTTTTCTATAAATACTTTCATGGTAATTGTTCTGATGAGCTTTCTTCTTTGGTAACTGCACTTTATGAATTTAAGCGCAGTAATAGATTAACAATTATGTTTCATCTTTTTACGGTTGAAATTGTTAGATATAAATCTAAGCTACACCCTTGTGCAAATTAATTGAAGCAAAACGAATAATTCTGTTAATATTTACTTTTCTTTGTATTTTTCCAATGAAACATGACCCAGTGCACATGTTAGTACTTCGTATGTCCATTCCACAAAGACGTTCCTTGCAGATTGACCACGGATTCTCGACTGAATTTAAATCAGGAGAGTTTCCGTGTCAGTCTAATACTTTGATTTGCTCACTGGCAAGTGCGTTCGTTCAGCGTTACAAATTTTCGTAAGATTCCTTTGAGTAACGTCCATCGTAGACAATGGCCGTAGGACAACTAATTGACATTCAAGACAATAATATCCAGGAGTGATAAAAATCTTATGCAATCACGGATGACGCAATATTTTTTAAGGCCAAACAAATTTCATCACACACCCCGAAAATAGATTCATATTACTGCACACCACTGCAAATGACCTAATCTGAGGAAAAAATAGTAATCGATTGCAACCTGTTACTCCAGTGGGTCTAAAACTGACCGTATGATTAAAGAAAGGAAACTAAAGCGGCTGTTTCAATTAATTCGCATAAGGATGTATATGCTAACAGTTTCTTTCTCGCACTTCTCGCTTGTGGAACTCCCTTCTGTTTTCTTGCTTCCCAGTCAACATTAATCTGCAAAAATTTGAATGCAATGCCAATCGTTATCTTGTCTGAATTAATTCCTTTTCTTCTATTGTTCTCTCCCCTTAATAATGTTTTTCTTTTTCTCACATTATTCCACATTCAATAAC